TAGACTTTGTAACCAGAAGGTAAGTTATAACCTAATAGATACTTGGAAATAATTAGAAACGAGGGATGGTGTACTTATATTCGACATTGACACGTGACTTCTATAGCTACTATAATTGTAACACCTATCCAAATTCGGGTAATTCCTTGACTTGAACATCTTTGCATGAATCAAGTACACACGTCATGCACTTGACCTAGTAGTAGAAATTTGGTCAGAGTGTCATAGGAACTTAAGTCAAATTAGAATCTAGGACATATATACTTAACTCTCACATTTCGCATGAATCGCTTAACCACTACATAGAATGCCGAAAAATAGAATTATATAACTTGCTACAAAATATAAGTATTTATATTGATCAATTAGAGTATCTAAAATGCTAAACTAAATTCATTATTGTGTTTAACAATTTTATTTTATATCCATTATGATACTTTAAGTTGTCCAAATTTTATAACAATGGCAAAATTTTATAAAATGAATGGAAGGTTTATCAAATATAAATTTCCCACAAAGTTTTATATTATATATAACACCTTTAACTCTATACAAGTCATGAGACATAAATTATATTATGGAACAATAAATAATTATAATTATAATTTATGATATATAAATCCTAAAACTAATGACTAGGTTACATACATAGTTTATAAAAGCAATTTTCAATTGCAAAGTTTATAAAAGAAATCAGCCATTTTCCTTCCCTCTCTCATCAAATATTCGTCCACACCCATGCTCTCTCTTCACTTCATTTTCCACAAAAACACAACACTATTCACTCATTCTCTAGAAAAACTCTCTTTACTTCCCCTTAACTTTTACTCTAAAATCATAACCCTCTAACCACCGAATTTAAGAGATATTTGGATATTCTTGAGGTCTCTCAACAATCAATGGTAAAGAACATACATCTCTTGAAGATCCATAACAATATTTACCAGTTTTTAAGTATTTCTCTCTTCTATCTTGATGTTTTAATGCCTTCTTTTTCTTGTAAACAATATTTGATTTGAATGTTTTTAAATTCTAAAATCATAGCCCTCTAACAACTGAATTTATGAGATATTTTGATATTCTTGAGGTCTCTTAGTAATCATTGGTAAAGAATATACATCTCTTGAAGATCCATAAGAATATTTACAAGTTTTTAAGTATTTCTCTCTTCTATCTTGATGTTATAAGGCCTTCTTTTGCTTGTAAACAATATTTGATTTTAATGTTTGTCGATTCTCACCAAAACATGTTTCATGTCATGAAAATGGTGAGAATCAATGATCAAACCTAAGTAAAAATCAAAGAAAGTGCACATGCAAGATCAAAAATGATGATTTTCACACTTTCTTCTTATTATTTTAAGTCTTTTATATATAAATCTTTTCTAAACTACCAATAACATATTTTAACTCCATGCATGTGATTTGGATCAGATTGCATATGATTGATGTTTACTTCATGGGTTTTGTTTTCATAGATTCATCAAAAGTACTAAAAGATGTGACGTAGTAATGATCATGTACTCATTTATTTAAAAATGCATCTAAATGACCTCAAATAATTAAGTCTGATATTTCTCAGTTTAGGAATGGTATGAAGAGCTTTTGTGGAAATTTTGAGAGTCAGATGTATTTTATTTTATTTAAAACAAAATTATTAAACTTTAGAGTGAAAAATCAACATAAAATAGTTCCCGAGGTCATAAAGCTCTCAACCTTTTTACAGGACTACTATTAAGGGTCCTAGACATTCAACATAAATTTTCATTAGAGATTGACACTTTTTGATATTTATTTTGATTTTTGTGGCTTTAATCATTACAAAATTTCAAAACTAGGTTATGGTCATTCAAATAACTTGAAATTTTTTCAAGTATTACACTTTGGTTAGATATGATTGTAATAAAAGTTTGAGAAATTTTCAAAACTTTTTGATATTTATTTCGATTTTCTTGTTATTAAACACAAGTAAATTATAAAATCTGATTCTTCTATTGAAAAACAACTTTTAATACTTTTCAGACGTGCTAGACATTATGAAAACTCTATATAAAATTTTATAGATTTTTCCATAACATTTCTCTATTTTTCCAATATTTAATGAATTTTTAAGGAGTTAAATTAATAGAAAATAGCTACAATTATCTAAAAATCATACAAATTTACCAGGACATCTTCCATTTTAGTAGGATTCCAAATATAAAGCTAGTGACTTTTATCTACACTTTATTATATTTATTTTGTTTGCCTAATATTAAACACCCATAAATCCATAAATCGAACTCCGTTGTTTGAAAACCACTTTTGATATTTTTCACATATTATACGCATTATAAAACAGTTGTACAAGATTTTTGAGGAATTATCTTAACTGTTTTCTATTTATTCTATTTTTCTTACATTATATACACATAAATCATGAAAGTCGGACTCCATTGTATGAAAACAACTTTTGACATTTTTCCCATCTTATATACAGTGTATAATAGTTGTATAAAAATATTGGCAATTTTACATAACTGCTTAGTGTTTTTCATGGTTTTATGATATTTTGAAGGAATTAAATGGTGGAAAAATAGTTAATCATATTTAAAAATCATGAAGAATTACAAGGGGGTTCTAAATTACAGTAAGAACTGAAATATAAGGTTTGTACATTTTAGAACTTATTTGATTTAGTTTTTGGATTTTTAGCTTGTAAAACCCTTCCAAAAGTACTAAAATACATTTCAAACAATAACACAAAATGGGATTTATCACTTGCAAATGTTAACAAGTTAATTGGTATGTAGACATCTGAATTTTACAGAAAAGTATTTGCAAATTATACGAAACCTAATTTTGACACAATTAATTATATTGTAGAAATTAAGTATACTAGTGTTAGATTTTTTACTAGAGACTTACTAGTGGGTAACATTATCATAGGAAATCGATAGTAAGATGTGAGAGAAATTAGCTCAAGGCATCACAAACACCTTCACACATCATTGTGAGTATTCACAGCCCCTATTTTCGGTTTTTACGATTTAAGGTGGAGAAGCATGTCCAAAAACTATTTACTATTCGTTGTATTTAAATCGACTTTTATCAAACTTGGTTGCTATATTTTGGTATGTATGTGTACGTTATTTTGATTCATGAGGCCTTATTGCGGTTAAGTCCGTAGAATGTTTCACATTACTCATTAACTCTTTTGAGTCTATGGTCATTGTGGATAATACTATTAGGAGGTATACAACTTCTCATTCACACACTCGGGGAGTTCATTTTACAATATTTCTCCCTATGTTAGCGATAGACATAGTATTCAAGACGATACTTGGTCATTAGGCTTGGGTTGTGAACTCATGATTTGTTCATTATGCACATACCAACTTTGTTCCTTATGTTTGCATCAAACGTTGTTTCTCCTGATGTTAACGAGCTTTATTTGTCATGATAGCAATGAACTTTGTTATGCAAACTTGTTTACTTATTATAGCAATGAACGTGTTTACTCAATATAACACTGGACTTGTTTACTCATAGCAATGAACTTGTTTACTCATTTTAGCAACGAATTACAGTTTGTAAACTTGTTCTCATCTCAGCAACGAACTTCCATTTATGGAAACTTTATTAAAACTCTATTTATGACTCATATACAACTATTTTTTGTAAATCTGTGAACTAACCAACTATTTCAGCAGTTGACCGCTTATTTTACATGCTTTTTTAGCAACACGTCTAATAAGTGGCAAATAGAGACACAACACTGGTAGAAGCATTACACATGTGTTATTTTTCAAATATATTGTAATTTAAGGTTGTTCAAACTCATTGTAAACTATAATGCTTTTTAATACTATGATTGACGTTGTCTTTTAACATTTGCTATGAGACCCTTTGTACTGTCGCGTCTCGTGTATCCGCTTTAGCAGGGTATTATAGTATTAAGTACATTGTCTATTACAAATTGGTAATAGCAACAAATTTTTTTGACTAGATGCCATTATGGTAAAAAGTTTTAGAACATTGTTGTTATTAATAATTTTAGAGAATATGCTTGTATCGGAAAAAAGATAACTATTTTGCTATTTCTTGCAATTTCATTTATGTAAAAGGGAGATTGTGTAAATTATATGTATTTAATTGTTTACAACAATAGCACAAACGCAAATTGTTAATTTTAGTGTTAAAATTGTTTAAATACCAATAATTCAGTTTTTAATAGAGTTTAACTTTTTTTTAGTTTTTATTGTCATTTACATAAAATTAAATAAATAAAACTAAGATTTTTAACTTTTTTCACAGATTCTAAATGGCGACACATATAATGAGGAAGTTGTCAAATCTTAACTTAGATGCCCCTGGTGCAATGTTTACTATTGAGTTTCTAAACTTGGTTGCAAAATTTGAGGGGAGATTGTCAAAATTGGTTGCTATCGATGGAATTTAGGGTGCACTCTTAATAGATGCTATATTTCTAGATCCAAATCATCCAATAGAAGAGAAAATGCAAAATAGAGCAATGTACTTTTGTTTGTTTCTCAAATTAGCATCTTACATTACTTATATCGTTATAAATCTTTTACCCATGGTTTTTATGGGTTGTAACCTAGTAGTTTATGAAAACACTAATGTGCTTTTGTACTTTAAATGGTTCTACGGTTGAAGAGAAACACAACAAAGATAATCATAAAACATGAGTGTGTTTTTATCTACCTTAGGTAATGTTCTTTGGTATGTGGTCTCAAAGGAAGGAATCTAATCCATGGGATCTCCTTGAAAGGTTGAACATATAAAATCATGTCTAATGCCTAAATCCATCTCAGATGTTAGGATTTTTCATGCCTTATCTTTTTTCTATACTGAAAATTTTAGCAGAATTGTTGATCCTATTACTAATTGCAAGAAGAAAGAGAATTTTCTATTGGTCAAAGGCTGTCTAACTTTTATCCTCTAAAACCACCAGATCAAAAGCAAGTATAAGATTCAGGTAAAAAAATGCGCAGTTTTGTACAATCCAAATTAAACTTATAATAATATCAATATATCATTGTAAAGGTCAGAGGAAGCTTTGTGTTACAAAACATGACTAAGAATGTAAAGCACAAATAAGCTGCAATATACATATACTAGTTGAAGTACATACGTTGAATCAACTAACTGAAAGAACATTTAATGGTTTGAGCTTTTTAAAGCAGTTGAAAAACCAGCTGTCAAATTCCATAATATTGATATCATGAGCCCTACAAAGCAACAACTTTCATCAGTTTGTACTAATGAAAGGAAAGAAAAAAAATCATATATTCTATTTAAGCCATAGATCAATGTTATAAGCTAGTATCAATTCCCATCCACCAAATCCTTATGATATGCACCCTATAAACTTCTATTAACTGCACAGGTATTAAGGATTTTTTGTTACAGAGAATACTTAAGCAATGGCATTTGGGGTTGGAAAAAATTCAGTAACAAGTATGGTCCATCCCAAAGTTAAAACTATCATTAACCCATTAATTATGGCAAAATTCATGTGTTCTTTTTCATTTCTTGTATTAGTAAGTAGTAAACATAAATCAATCTAAATTTTGGTTCCCAACACATCTTTTTCATTACTTTTTTAGAGATTATAATGAGAAATAGATTAAAATGATTATAAAAATAAGTAAAAAGAAAGGAAAGTTAGAAACGTACTTGATATCTGAGTGCCGTTTCAAGGGCTCTCACAATCTCCTTCATTAGTGGACGTTCTTCTCGTTCTTTGTTCAAACATTGATAAGCAATTGTTTTAAACGCCTTCAATGAACCAGGATTTATTTGATCCCTTATACTGCCATAAATAATTTCATCTAGGTTATTTTGTTCATAACACTTTTGCACCAAAAATGGTAAAGCTTGATGCTTATCATTAACGTTGTGCATACTCAACCTCCCACATAATACTTCAAACAAAACCACACCGAAGGAATAAACATCCGACTCCTCTGTTAGAAACCCTGTCTTTTCATATAGGGGATCACAATACCCATACGTCCCAAGAACATTCAAGACAACAAAAGGGTATTGTTGGCTAGTAGGACCAAATTCGGATAGACCAAAATCTGTGATCTTAGCATTCCAGTTTTCATCTAATAAGATGTTGGAGCTTTTAATATCATGATGAATGACTTTTTGGTGGGTCCTAGGAGGATTATGAAGGTACATTAGTCCACGAGCCACCCCAATGCATATCTTAAGGCGGGTAACCCACGTTAAATCCTTGTTAAGATACAAGTCGAGACTTCTCTTTGATGCATACTCATACACAAGGATTTTTTCGCCTCTTTCATCACAAAACCCTAGCAGGGAAACAATATTTTCATGCTTATAAAGGGAAAGCATTATGATCTCCTTCCAAAACTCTGGGTCTCCTTGTCCAAGTGTACTTCCAAAACGTTTAAAAGCAAACGTGGTATGCCTCTTCAAATGGATAAGGTGTCCCTTATACACTTTCCCAAATCCGCCTACCCCGATGCAATTTTGTTCAGCAAAATCATTGGTTGCTAATTTTATAGCTTCAAGTTGTATTTCGAGGTGTTTAAACTTATTTTTGATAGGCATCCTTTTAGGGTGTGATGAAACCATTAACAAGCATGGATCATTCTGTTACATTGAATGAAAACATAATAATATCAAATCACAAAATGAATGATGTAGCAATCGTATCTAAAGTTCTTACTTGTTAACCGTTTACTTCAATATAAATTTTGTTCACAACACATCTTTCTACCATTCCAATGAAAAAAGACTAGGATAATTATAAAAAGTATGGTTGTTCAAAAAAAATTATAAAAAGTATGAGTGAATCGAAAGTATGAATCAGACGTACCTGGTATTCAAGTGCAGTTTCTAGTGTTGTTAAGATCTCGTTCATTGATGGACGTTTGTCACGGTCTCTCTTCAAACATTGATAAGCAATTGTTGAAAACGCCTTTAAAGAATTAGTGTTTATTTCATCCTTTATATCACCAAAAATAATTTCATTTAGGTTGTTATGTTTGTAATGCTTTCGTACCAACTCAGTAAAAGATTGAGATTTCTCATAGTTGTCAGTACACAACCTCCCACACAAAACTTCAAATAACACCACACCAAAAGAGTAAACATCAGATTCCTTTGTTAATAACCCTGTCTCTACATACAGCGGGTCCCAATACCCAAACGTGCCAACAGGATTAGAGAAAATAAGTGAGTATTGCAGGTTAGCAGGGCAAAATTTGGATAAACCAAAATCTGCAATCATAGCATTCCAATTTTCATTTAATAGGATATTGGAACTCTTGATATCTCGATGCAATACTCTTTGTTGTGTCCCAGCAGACTCAGAATCATGAAGGTACGATAGTCCGCGGGCCGCCCCAATGCATATCTTAAGGCGTCTAACCCAGGTTAGATCGTGGCTGTTTAGATACAAGTCAAGACCTCTCTTAGATGCATATTTGTACACAAGGATCTTCTTGTCATCATCATCACAGAACCCTAAAAGAGACACAATATTTTCATGCTTGTAAAGAGAAAGCATAAGGATCTCATTCCAAAACTCACGATCCCCTTGCCCAAATGCCCGATCTAAACATTTTAAAGCAACCACTGTATGACCCTCCAAATGGTCGAGTTCTCCCCTGTAAACTTTCCCAAATCCTCCTCTTCCGATGCAATGATCTTCAGCAAAGTTGTTGGTTGCAGATTTTATTGCTTGTAGTTGTATTTTGAGGTGTTCAAACCGTTTTAGATCAGACATGTTTTAGTAATCGATCAAAAACAGAGAACAAAAGTGAGACTCAAATATTACTTCAAGGCATTACCAAAACAAAGTAGCAATATCACAAGCTGAAAATATATTTAAACCTAAATGGAACCTCCGTTAAATTCTATTTCTCAAAACTCGATCCTAATAATATCAAACAGAATTCGGTGATGCTTACAGAAATCTAAATTGAAACGAAGCAAAACTAAGAACAAAGTTGTCTGTTCTTTGAAATCCTAACTTCATTTTCTCCTGATAAGTGAAAATTTCTATACAAAAGACAATCGTACCTATCAATGGTGCTGATTTGGATCGGTAAATTTGGATTTGAGTTCAGATTTACGAAATTAAGAGTTAGAAATCAAACAATAAACTGCAAATCGGCGAATGTTTGCGAGGCTAGTGATGAATGTAGAAAATCGCAGTGGACATAGTCAACTATCTCCCTCTCCCCCTTACATAATTTATGGTCTTTGTCGCATTTGTCGGCTTGCAAAACCAGTATTTCTTTTTGTCAAGCCATCCTTATTTTTGTTCGGAATTTAAATTTAGGATTTTGTTTCTGCAAGGTTTATAAAAACATGTTAATATTTTGGTTCAATCGGTTAAAATTTCATTTTTTTTTTCGTAATTTAACTATTGAAATGGGTAAATATTTGCAAAACAACCTTTGTAATTGGTTAACGTGGGTGGGTTTTAATGATTTAAATGCAAAATAAATAAATAAATATATCATAAATGACTTTTTTTATTAATAAGGTTAAAACATAAAAACTTTCTTGAGATTTTCTTTTTATATATACTAAATTTATTTTTAGAAATTTTATATTTATTTATTAAAAAACATAAAATAAAGATACCATAAACATTGCTTCACTAAAAAAAACTAATATTTCTTATTAAAAAACACAATAATAATATTTCTAAGGCATAATGGAACTCTATTTAGGAATAACAACATCCGACAAACTTTATCTATGAAGTGTCATCCGATTGCGAAAGGATCATCGGTACGTTGTAGTTTATGGTAAACGTTTTTCATCCAATATCTAAACATTCAACAATGAAGTAACATTTGGCCTACGAATGTATTTTTTTCGACAAATTAACAAAATCCTCTTCATTTATATAATATATAGATGACATCTTTAGGGTTGCCGTAAAGATATTTATTAAAGAGAATAAAAAATTCCAAAAATGATATATATCATCTGTTTTTTTAATAAAAGAAATTATCTATATATTGAGTTTTTTAACAAATAACTATAAGTTTTATTCAAATAAATATAATATATATTAAAAAAGAAAATTTATAGTAATGCCCTTAAACATTAACCATATTAACAAAAAAAAAATCATCTATTATTATTTGTTTTATTTTGTTTATTTGCAATTTAACCGTTAAAATAGACACTAACATGTTATAAGGGATGTTTTGTAAATACTTATCTGTTTTAATGGTTAAATTGCAAATAAATAAATAAATAAATAAATTAGGGTTGACTTTCTTGTTAATAGAGCGAAAATGTAGGGCATGTTATGCATATTTCCCTTTGTTTCTTTAACATCAATATTTTATCAATAGAATGATTGTAATAACTTTTTAAAGGTTTTTCCATGAATAGCTAAAAAAAGAGAAACGACCAAAATAACAGTGATTTTTGCAGGCTACCATCTGTGAAAATCTATGTTATTTATGAGAATCTAAGTGGAATTTTGCAAATGCAGCATGTGAAAATGTAGTTTTTTTCCTAAATTTGAACATTCGTAATTCTTTCAAACAAAGTTTTTTGGGCTGGATTTTTTTATTGTATTCTTTGTAACAAGGTTTATCCATATACATATCACACTCCTAATTTGGAGGCATGAAGTCACACTTTTTAAGTTAGAAATAAGTTTATGGGTGAAAAATATAAAAAATAACTTAACAGTTAATCTTCATAACTCTTTTATACGACATCCATTTAAGATGATTTTTCTTTCATTATGTTCTATGTAACAATGACGATCTATGGCCATATCACATTTGGAAGTATCACGGTTTGTGATGTTTGACAATTTTCAAATACAAAAAAGATAACATTTATAGACTAGTAGATGCAACAAAGAATTACATGTACAATAAAGATATATAAATATTTAAGTAATAGAGGGAGTAACACCACCAATTCATCGTTTGCTAATTCTTATTCAGGATGGAATAGTAGAGGGTTCATCGTTTCACTTTGATATGAGGATCGATAGCCGGTATAGAACTCGAAAGCAGCTGGTAGGGATCATAATAAAATTAATAAGATTGTGAATCTTTTGCATGTTAAATGATATTATTGCAATATTGAGTGACTAGACGGTACACCACTTTTTTGTCATTTACCAAATCTACAATTCCAGTGGATTTTCCAATAAATTACGAAATGCTATAGTTCTTAAATATGATTTCTGAATTTATTCAGAAGTAATTCGCGAGATCATGCACCTCAAGATGTACAAATATAATTTGTAAAGAATATGTAACTTCAAAGTTGAATATATAGAATTGTCTTGCCTTTCTAGGCTTACCACTTGTGCATACTCCTACAAAAATTCTTAGCATAAGCTGTGAGATCACCAAACAACCTCCTGACAAATTTATATTTATTCTCATTTAACACTTAAAGTAGTTATATGTCCTTAAAGAGAGACAAATACTTTATAAAATTGTATTTTACCTTTTACTGAATCGAGTCACAAACACTTGGTGTATCGTTCCATGGACTATAACATCCTAAATTTTGGGCTAGATTTTTTCATGTGTAAATTAGTAAAATAAAATATAAAAAGAAAATAAAACAAAATAATAACTTTAATAGAAACGTTGTAGATTTAAAACACAAATTTCAATTTACATCTTATTTAGACTTCAAGTGTTGAGAAGAATATAGATGAGACTCTATTTTTGCCTAAAACTAAACGTGAATAATAATATTGACCTAGTCAATGACCAATTAGTTAAAAAGAAGTGTCATTAGGGTTAACGTATGAAAAGGATAAGTTTCATAAGAGGATTGTCAAAATTTATCAAATATGAGAACAATGAATGTCAAGGGCGATTTTTTCCACTTGTCAAAAGTTAGAGAGTAGTTAGTGGGTCTCACTAATACAAAATTGACTCGTGGTGACGGTATCTAAAAACAGGATGCTGACAGTTTTTATATTTTTTTGTCACTAAAGGTCCTAACTAATTTCAAGGATTATTTTTGTCACATTTAACACAAAATGTGTCGCCATTGTAAATCAAACCTCACACCATATAACCTTAGCAACGGTTTTACATAAGAATAGTGACAGGTATTGTCTCGATCGAAAATTATAGCAAAAATGTCATCATTTATAATACTTTTTATTTGATATGCACATTTACTTTATGACGGTTATTAAAGGAGAAGCAAAGGCATGTAAGGTGACGAAGTTCACTTTTATGTGACTAAATCTTATATTCGAATTAGCTGCATGAAAAATATGTGTCGAAAAGGTAAGATAGATAGTGACTGAAATTTATTTGACTTACAAAAGGGTTATTATGACGATTTAATCTCTCTCTCTCTCTCTCTCTCTCTCTCTCTCTCTCTCTCTCTATATATATATATATATATATATATATATATATATATATATATATATATATATATATATATATATATAAAGTGAATATACATTTAAGGGTATATAAGCTTAGGTACTCAAACTTACCATACTACGTCGTTTTGTATCATATAATACATTATAATTGTCCAATGTTATTATAATTTAACTTCTAAGTTGATTTACTTCCATGATTTTTATAAATTACACGTTTATCTTCCTCTTACTTAATTTTGCATTTTCAACTACAATAAATATAACTTAATAAGTGTTCGACAAAAAGATGTGACATAAGAGAAAGATAATAGTGAAATTTCGAAAATTTTGAAATTAAATCAAGTTAGGGTTGAAGTTTAAGAACACTATAATGAATATATCAAACAAAACGATGTATTATGGTGTGTTTGGGTACCTAAACTTATATACCCTTAAGGGTATATTCACTTATTATATATATATATATATATATATATATATATATATATATATATATATATATATATATATTCAGTTTCTTTCTCTGCAAACCAATATTTTCTAGGAACCACCCTTAAAATGCTAACTCCTTTATGACATTTTTTTATACAAAAATAGTGACCTTAATGTTGTAGTTTGAGCTTATCTAACAACTTTTGAAAAAAATTATTCAAAAAATGTATATATACCAAGAGTTCATATGTGCACCTTTTAGGAATATGTGCAATTTTACATTTTTGCACATATGCACTCTTTTATATATGCATGATTTTTGAATAATTTTTTTTACATGACTTAATGCATTAAGTAATTGTTTTTGAAATTATCACAATATAGTTCCCATTTTAATAGTTCTTCGCGGGAAAATTAGTTCGGAAAAGATCTTAGCCACACACACGCATGCCCGCACGCACACAAATATATATATATATATATATATATATATATATATATATGGTAATTTTAGTGTCACCAGACATTTAAATGTAACTAAAATTAATACGAGTGGTAGAAGAATTATTAATTATTTTTAATATAAGTTAGGCATTGCGGGGTGCACGTTTATATAAGACCAGTTTGATTTGATTTTAGAATGGCAAGTGGCGAAGGTAAATATGACGACTTTGTCAATTTTGGATTATTGAATTCAAATTTTACTTAATGATCAAGTTATGGTAAAATGGCAGTTTCTACAGTTATAAAAACGATTGAATGATTTCAATTAAACATTAAATGTGTAAAATTAATTCAACTGTAAGCCCCATTTTTCATATGCTATATACAAAGTTTATGTGGAAAGAAGAAGGATATGACTTATTAATAAGTTTTGGCTCTCTCCTGTCTCTGAAATTTCACAATTCTCTAATAATATTGCTTTCATTTCTATACCTAGAATTGAAGGTTTCCTTGTAGATTATCATATATTTGACTCTATGATACCTAGACATAGGGTTGAAATTTCAATTCAAAAAGTGATCTTACACCATCCACAAGCAATCTGGATTTCCATACCACCATTACCCTATTTGTCTGTGTACACTAGGTTATACTGGCTCTAACAAGAGAATGATATTTACTATTGGTGGTTATGGTTGAGTCAATTAGGGATATGAATTTTTGGTTCTACAAACTGTATAATTTTGAAGGGAATGACTTTAGGTGCTAGTAGAGGAAGATGCACTTTCTGATGACTATATTAATGGTGGAGTATGCACTGCGTAACCCTATGTTGGAGGTTATTAAAGATGAGAAATTAGAGTAACCTAGAAGGATGAGTTAGTGGGATAACTGTAACACCGTAAAATTTCAAACAAATTTTCACATTTTTAAAAATCATTTAATTCACAATATTATAAGACACATTGTTTCATATATTCAAACATAAGTCAAAAATCCCAAGATCATATCATATAAATAAAACTCC